GGACGAAGACGGGAACGATAATAGCAATGCCTTGGACGAAAGCCCTCTTCGCTATTGCTCGCGGCAGCCTTCCACAAAGTCAGGGCCTCGTCGCCGTGCTCGCCGTGGTCCTGCCCCTGGTACAGGAGGGCGGCCAAAAAAATCTCAAAGGCAAACTCGATCGTCGGGGCCGCCACGACAGTACCGGAGTCCAGTGATGATTCCACCGGAAGAATCGGCCGGATTTCACGCACAAGATCCGGTGTGGAATGGGGACCTGGACGCTTGCGCCTTGACTTGTCGTGATAAAGCAATCCTCCGTGAGTTCTGGACAAAGCTGGACAATGACCAAATGCAATTTTGCGGTCGATGCCAAGAGCGTTGGTTCCAGATGAAGATCGGTTCCGATGGCATTTGTGCGCGTTGCTATCGAAAGGATGATAAACGCGGCCCTGAAGAGCCGTACTTCTTCTCTGTGGACAACCAGTTGGATTTTGGCTCCGTACCGACTCAATTGCCTCAGCTTACACCTACTGAAGAGTCTTTAATAGGCCGTGTTCACGTCCACGTGAATATTATGCTTGTGCGGGGCCAGCAGTACAAATATCGGGGACATGTTGTTCACTTTCTCCGCGAGGTTGGCTTGGTGTACAACCAACTCCCGCTTTTGCCGCGGGAGTTGAACACTGTATTACTCCGTCCTTCCAATACGTCGTCCCATGCAAACCTTAGCCGGCAATTCACCCGCCAGTTCCGTGTACGCCGCCAGCCAGTTGCCATATGGCTTAACTACCTCCGGCGCCATCATCCTGGCTATCGATGCATCGTCATCGACGAAGAGCGGCTGAGTCAATTGCCTCAAGATGTATCGTCATCGACGAAGAGCGGCTGAGTCAATTGCCTCAAGATGGCAATGTCCTGGACGACATCCCCCAGAGCCAGGTGGAGGCTGCCGAAGTTGGACCCGAGGAAGATGAGGAGGCAGAACCGGACCTGGAGGACGAGGCTGCGGTGCCGGACCTTTTGGCCAAGGACACGGAGCTCGATGCTCTCAGGCAGACTTCTCAACAAGCAGTACTGATTGATAAGGCCGGTACTGATACTGATTGATTGATATAGTATGTTACTGATACTGATTGATTAGCTTATCAGTAAGTGCCAAGACATGACGTCATTGTGCTAGCGGTGCGACAGCAGTTGTCATCGTGTCTCAGATCCAATCACATTGGATGCTCCAACCCTATCAAGTAGGACGGCACCGAAAGTGCCACTCGTCTTGACGCTACGGTCAATTGACTACAAGGACTACATCGAGCACGCGATGCGCTGGCATGACGGGCGTTTTGCACG